CTGCCAGGGCCAGTAATATTCAACATTTTCATTAATGACTTGGATAATGGAATGAACAGTATGCTTATAAAATTTGTGGATGACACCACGCTGGAAGGGGTTGCAAGCACGTTGGAGGACAGGATTAGAATTCAAAATGACTGTGATAGATTGGAGAATTGATCTGAAATCAACAAGATGAAATTCTGTAAAGACAAATACAATGTACTACATTTAGGAAGGAAAAATCTAATGCTCAACTACAAAATGGGGAATAACTAGCTATGTGGTAGTTCTGTTAAAAAGGATTTGGGGGTTATAGTGGATCACAAGTTGAATATGAGCTAGTAATGCGATGCAGTTACTAAAAAGGCTAACATAACTCTGGAATATATTAACAGGAGTGTCACATGTAAGACCACGGGAGGTTATTATCCAGCTGTACTCAGCCCTGGTGAGGCCTCAGATGGCATGCTGTGTCTAATGCTGGGCACCGCACTTTGAGAAAAATGTGGACAAATTGGAGAGAATCCAGAGGAGAGCAAGAAGAAATGATGAAAGGGATAGAAAACCTGACCTAGGAGGAAAGGTTAGAAAAATTGGACATTCTTGATAAAAGAAGGCTGTGTGAGGACCTGTTAATTGTCTTCAAATATGTTAAGGGCTGTTATAAAGAGGACAGTGATCAAGTGTTCTCTATGTCCTGTTAAGATGGGGCAAAAAGTAATGGGTTTAATCTCCAGTCAGGAAAATGTAGGTTAGATATTAGAATTTATTTTTTTTAACTGTAAGGATAGTTAAGTACTGGAATAGGCTTCCAAGGGAGGTTTTGGAATTCCTGTCATTGGAGGTTTTTAAGAACAGGTTAGGCAAACAACTGTTAGGAATGGTCTAAGTATATTTGGAACTGCCTCAGCATAGGAGTGAGACTAGATGACCTCTCAAGGTCCCTTCCAGCTGTGATTCTATTTTTCTGTGTACACTGTCTCAAAGGAAGAGCAGAAGCAAACAGAAAAACAAACCAGCGTAGCAAAATTCCAGCATTGAGGGTATCCAGAAAAAATAGTCTTGAATTCATAGAAGAGGTACATCAGCAAACCTCTGACACCGCTGATCAACATGTTGGTAGTTGCTGTGTTCTCAAGCTGGATGACACCAAATGACTTTGAGAGACTCTGCCTGTCATAACTGAGACTAAATCTGAGAAAAACCTGACCTATATAAAAATTTTGCTGCAGAAAATTTTAGGATGGGAGAAGCTGTACTAGTCACCGTGCTTTACCTCAACCTAGCTACTTACTATCATCTAGTAAGGGAGTGTGACAGCTTGACATTAATACTTGCTGTTTGGTAGTCCATTTCTTACACTAGTCTGTCAAGTAAAGACATTCTTTGTAAAAATCACTTCGGGCCTGAGCCCTTCTGAGGCAAAGTTTGTCTCATTGTTCTTTTCTTAGATACCAGCCCAGAAAATTAATCAGCAATTTTATCTGTCTGCTAATTTTTATATACCTAGATTATGTCCATTTTAACCTCCTTATTCTAGTCTTTCTTCATTGTGTAGTTGTAGTCACTACCTCCCTTAATCCCCCTTGTTGCACTGTAGCTCTGTATTACAACTTCTTTGATTTCTTCAACTGTCTTTCCACAGAGCTTCAGTTTTCGTTGATCCCTCTGCTGTGGCTAATGCAGAAAACAGTATTATTTTTCTTTTTATTTCTGAGGCAAATACATTTATTTTTGGATGAATTTATAATGCTAATTTCCCTAAAGATTTCCTGAACAAATAACAACAAGGGATGTAAAAAAATTAGAGATAAGAGCCAATTGGATTAGCCTGTGCTTTTCCTCCTGCTTCACTCTTGTACAAGGAAGCTGTTCCTCCGAATTGGTCCTAGACGTTTCTACCAGTGGGACTGTGCAATCACTCAATAAATATGATCCTAACCTTAGTTTCCCACAGGAGAGCCTTCTTCAAGACCTAAAACCAGGGATATCTTATGTCTTATTCCCTTGAAATCTGAACCGGTTTTTCATGTAGACAAGGTATTTTTGCATATTGTTCCACCTTTTCTTCCCACAGTTACTACTTTGATCATTTAAACCAGGATGTAATAATTCATCTCAGAAAATCTGTGGCATTATTATAAATCCCTTATTTTAATTTGCAGAGTATACTCACTTACACTGTAAAAGGTAGAGCTTTTAGAACTGGGATTGTTTTTTGTTTTGTTTTTTGGTCTGTGGGAATGCTACGCGGAAGCCTTGGGTTTTCAAAATACACACTGGCTAGAGGAGCAGAAAAGAGGTGTGCTTAATACTGGAGCTCCAATAGGGTGTTATCTGCTTCACAGGGTGGATCCAGGAGTCTTTAGATGAGATTTAATTTTTTTTTATAAAAAAATATTAAAGTACTATAGTGTAGGTTAGATATCTTTGTACAATATTTGCTGAAGCTTTGTGTAGATCAGGGGTCGGCAACCTTTCAGAAGTGGTGTGCCACATCTTCATTTATTCACTCTGATTTAAGGTTTTGCATGCCAGTAATACATTTTAACGTTTTTATAAGGTCTCTTTCTATAAGTCTATAATATATAACTAAACTATTATTGTATGTAAAATAAATAAGGTTTTGAAAATGTTTAAGAAGCTTCATTTCAAATTAATATAAAATGCAGAGTCCCCGGACTGGTGGCCAGGACCTGGGCAGTGTGAGTGCCACTGAAAATCAGCTCGTGTGCCGCCTTTGGCACGCGTGCCACAGGTTGCCTACCCCGGTGTAGATGGTAGTCTTATGACTTTGGTGTTTCTTCAATAAATTTTTGGTTCTTGTGCTTTCCTGTTTTCCTTTGCAATGAGAGAAAGAATATGACCCTATCGATCCTTTTACATCTAGACTGTGAATTTAAACTAACAGAGATTATGCTGTTTTTAACAAAAAACAAAGAAGAAGAAAAAAAAACAGCTTCTGTGTCTCAGAAGTTTTTAAGTGTCAAGTTATCCTGATTATTTTTATAAAAAATTCATTTCTTTCCCTTTTGGATCATTCTGGTTTTAGATTTTGGCTACATCCACAAATTTCTTAAAATTGGAATGAGGATACAAGTAGAAAGAATTAAGTCACCAAGTTTCAGCTTTCTTGTTCACACTTGTAGTCTGACAAGTTGGAGCCAGGTAAACCATCAACTCTGGATTAAATAATGGAAACGTATGTTAGGAGTGAGAAACTACAGTATGAATGATCTTCTATCTCTCAAGGTTCTTTTATTGGCACCCATCCCAATCTCTGAGAGCCTCGTTAGTAATTGAGCACCTAACAATATAGTAGCCTATTAAAATGCTTAAAATACTTTCCCCGCTATGGTGTTATGAGAATGGTGTTTAATGCAAATTAATATCAGTATTATTTTGTAAATACATGATATTCCTGAATTTAAAAATGTGCGTATTACCACCACTTTCAGGGCTAAGACTAGAAGGAATCAGAGGTTTTGTTACTTTAAGACATACAGGAGAAATCAAATGTATAGTTTTATTTATGATACTGGAAATATAGTAGAGGAGACTGAATACTCTAAGCAAAATATGAATCAAGAAAAATCTGTATTTTGGAACTTCTCCCTTGTATTTTATATTGTCACATTTTATTTTCACATTTTATAGACTATTAATTACTGTAGCAATCAATCAGTGCCTTTGCTGATTCTGAACTTTATCTGACCAAGTGGTAAAATGAACTGTCCTGAGCAGTACTAGACTTTCTCTACCTCTCTTTTGTACCTCTTTTTTTAGTAACACCACATTTTTTTAATATAAATCTTTTAAAAACAGCGACAGCGTTTAGTTCAAATTCTTCTCAGATTGATTGTATAATGAAAAACAAAGCCATTTTCTGTTTTAGACATACAACCTTAAAACAGTGTAATAGCCAGACTCCCTTTCTTTTCTTGGGCAGAGACATTTTACATACAATTTCTGTGCAGAGCAGTTTTTTCAGAACAGATGTAAATCCCCCCAAAAAGAAATGTATACTGGAAAGATCTTAAACTGCTGCATTGTGAGAAAAAGTGATATGCCAGGGAGAGGTTTCTTTTGGGAAAAGATAGTGGGATAGAAAGCCTTTCACCTATAGGTCACTGATTCAAATCCAGTTTGTGTTATTAGGGCCTGAGCTTTGCCATTTCTGTGGGCTATGTGAGATGGTGTTCTCAGCCCTGGTTTTAGTGCACAGGTATTCACAAAATCTGCTCCACCATGCAATGAGCTCTTCATGGAGCCTCATTGATTTTAGTGGTGATTTGCCTGGCTAGGGGTCTACTTTTGTGGAGCTCATTCCAGAGCTGTGACCATAACTGACACCCTTACCGTCAATCTCAGTAGAAATACAAGGGATTCAGTGAATTTTATGATTAACTCACATTTTCCCCTAGGGAGATGGTCCCTCCCTCCACAACAGAGTTGGGGGTGCATTGATTATTGATTAAGCAAAGGAAGCTTTTACTGCTGCAGTCTGTGGTTTACATGTTCTGTAAATAAACAAAGGATATTGGTCAAAGGTGCTAACTGCTTGGTACCTTCCACAAGTAAAAATTGCTTTGAAAAAATAATTCAGTATTGCTATAATTTATGGATATGTTGTATTTTTTATTGCAGGCTTGGCTTGGTGTGGATAAATATAGAGCAGCAGTAACTGAACTGCTATGAGCTAACTGGGCATCTGTCCAAAATATCATTAAAATATTGACATAGACTAATTTGGGTTTTTTAATAATATTTTGTTAAGTGCTATTTAAACAGCTCTGCTATGATTGACCCACATACTCTAGTTTAAAAGTTGAGAATTGAGATAATAGTAGATCTGACACTTTTAGTACATGATGTTTTCTGCAATCAAGCAGTACATAGTTCAATATGTTAATTTCTGAGACTATTCGTAAAGAAAAAAAAAGCAACAAACCAAACCAGAGCAAACAACAAACAGATTTTCTATACTGAATACCTTTTGTTCATTCATTTTCCAGGTTAGCACTGTATGTATATGAATATCTGCTCCATGTAGGAGCACAGAAATCTGCCCAGACATTTTTATCAGAGGTATGTTTCCCATTGTTTTCTTCTCTTTCACAATTTTGATAGTGTGTGCAAATAGAATAACTGTATATGTTTTTTTTTAAAAAAGGAATAAAACAACACAGTGGATATCAGTTTATACTGATAAACTTGGATTTTTAAGTCTATGCTAACCAGGTGTTCACCCATCTCTGGCAAAGGCATCCCCAACTTCGCAAAACAATTCACTGGTGTGATTTGTACCCCGTCCTTCCATGTCTTTCACCACATAAAGATCCCACTTGTTTTCTGTAACAAATGTGGCATTTAGGGAATACATAATTTTATTAGTATTTGCTTGGGATGACCTGTATAACTTACTCATGGTATCACCACCTGTGGATAATGCAGCCATTCTAAACACATGGCAATGAAATGTTTTATACTATATTATATTTCCAGACTGTCCCTGTTGTATATACTCTATAGATAATGTTGACCAGCAATAGTCTCAGTACATATCCCTATGATACCAATTAACAACTTCTCTTAATTTCAAGAAGCAATTATGTATTATAACTACTTGTATCCTGTTGATTAACCAGTTTTAACACCTGATGGTACTTTTGCCTTTTACCCTATGTTAATTTTGTCTTCATAGTCTTTGTTAAAGGACTCTGTAAGTCTTTTGAAAATCCAAGTAAATTAGTTCTCAGAAACCTTTGTTTATGATAGGAAAAAATGACAAGTGTGTCAGAGATGCTGAACTCCTTTTTAAAATCTCTCTTTAACAAGAATATTTAAGAAAATAAGTTGACAAGTGGGAAGTAAAGAAGAGGTTGGGAAAACAGCATTGAATAAAGAGCAGGCAAGGTAATAACTTGGAAAATTTCCACATCTCAAAATCAGTTATCCCAGGTGGCACAGATTCAAATAGTAATAAATTTATTTTGCTACTGATGACTTTTTGAACAGTCCTGGACAACTGGCATGCCACTGGAAGACTGGAGAAAAGCAAATTTGTGGTAGAACTTTTAGTTTTTTTTTAAAGTAAAGAGTGTTTCCAGCAGTTACCATCTGATATATCCAGTTTTTCTCTCTATTGAAGTAGGGGCAAAATAATTAAGAGAAAAATATAAAAAATTAATAGGATAATTTGTCTCAGCAAAACCAGCATTCATTTATAAGGAATAAATTTTGCAGGGTAAAGCTTTGCTTATTTTGTTTTTAGGGTAGGTTTGCAAAGTGAGTAGATGAGGGGAACATTTTAGGTATGACATTTGAATTTTGGAAAAGCCTTCAATATGGTGTCTCCCAAAATCTTGCTGTCAAAATTAATTTAAATCTGAGAAGATAGAAGCGCTGTAAAATGGACTAATAGTGGCTGAATTATCATGAACAAGAGGCCGTGATAAATAGCAACATTGAATTGGTGTGCGGTATCTACTAAATACTGCAAAGATCTGTGGGCTTCATTTAACTTCTTCATTAATGGTGTAGAAGAAGGAGTAAACAGAACATTGATGGCATTTATAGAAGATACTATGTTGGGATAAATTACAATTATCTTAAATTTTAAAATAATACAAAGTGACATAGAAAGATTAGAAATCTGGGCTGAAGATAATAAAATATGATTCATCTCAAAAACTGTACACTAATACATTTGGAGGGGAAATAATCCAAAACAGATAAATCAGTGGGGCAGAGAATCCTGGCAAGCAGAAATGATGAAAGAGATAAGAGTGATAGTGGATAGCAGATTAGATATGTGTTTGCAATGCAATATGGGTGCCAAAAAAAACAGTTCAGTTTTGGGGTGCACATGATGAATCTCTGTATCACAGATAAAAAGAGAGTCCTTTTTTTCCTATATAAGTTTGGTGCATCTGAATTGCTACATTCAGTTCTGAATATCTTGTTATGAGAATTATATTGGCGTATGAGAGGGCAATGAGAGAAGAGCAACAAAAATGAAGTCAGCTGGATGATTAATTTGTAAGGGAAGATGAAGACTTAGATTCTCCAGCATGCTTTGTCCTCTTTGTTTTGATCCATAGGTGCAATGGGACTACAAACCCACCAGACCAGGCCAAATTAAGATTCTTATGGTGTGGGGGATTTGCAGGTTACATAGTAGTATGGTAACCAGATGTCCCGAGTTTATAGGGACAGTCCCAATAGTTGGGGCTTTTTCTTATATGGGCTCCTATTACCCCCCACCCCTGTCCCGATTTTTCATACTTGCTGTCTGGGCACCCTACATAGGAGGCACTCTTAAGCCACATTCTCTTCTGCTTCCAGTTTAGGAGGCAGGGCCAGAAGAAAGAGGCATGGCTTGAGCACCTACATGTTCTAGCAGTTCTCAACTGAGCATAACAGTCCGTGGGGCTATTTAAGGCCAAAATAATTTAGAACAGTTCTGAGGCTGAGAATTTGGCCCTAAAAGAACTAAATATGTATAACTTAGCTAAGCAATGACTAACAGTTTATACTTTATTTGAAAAGTGTAAGCAACAAAGATCATTATTTAAAGTTGTACAAGAGTGTAACTATGAGTAATGGGACAAAATTAAGAAAGGGAAAATTTCAGATGGATATCAGGAAATCTGACATTGCAATCAATTAGTCTGTAAAATAATGTCGTAAGGAATTTTTTTAAGCTTTCCCAGATTTTGTGATACTCTGTTTTTTAAATGAATTTTCTTAAAACTGAGATTCACAGTAGTCCTAGAATCCCATTGGGTTCTGTCATAGTTACAGGGTGAGCTGCACTATGGACCCTTTCATAGTCCCCTCTCAAGTGCACCCCTCAGGAGACAGGCTTTGCTTCCTTAACCTCTTTAAAGGGTGGAACTTTGGAGGTCAATCACTTTTAGATTGAATCTCTGAGTTGCAGCCCCTCCCCCCCCCCATTAATCAACTGTGGCTCCTCTAGCAGGGCTTGATTCCCGCAAGAGAATTTCCTTCAGGAAATGTGACCAACAATTGATAAAGTGACTCAAAACAGCTTTTCCAAAACCAACGTATTGTTTATTCACCAAAGGATGGTAACAAGTGAAGAAAATGGGTAAAACAGCAAATGGCCTACACACCTGGGTCTTACCTATACCTTATCCTTTCCTTGCTAGTTTTGGTAACTTCCACCTAGCCCAGGTAACCTGACATCTGGGCTGGTAGGGACAGGCTCCTCTGCAGCAGGTTCTCTTTCCCTTGTATCTGTCCCAGTGTTTTCCCCCAGCTGCTTTTCACTCACTCTCCATGCCCCTTCCTCTCTATGCAGGGCTTTTTTAACAGTTCAGTGTCTTTTCTCCTAGTCCTGGAAAAATTATCCGGCTGGTGACAGTAAGATAGGTATTTCCCTATTAATAGCCTGCTCATTGTTCTCTTAAAGACCCTTGATATTTTCCCTGAAGATATCTCTGGAATTGTTTCATTTCCTGCCTGCTCTTCCTAACAGACTCTAGATTTAAATCTATGCAGTCAGACAGATTAATATCCAGCAGGTAAACAGAAGAACATATAATCTTCATAAAAAATAAGAGAGAGCTCTCTCTTATTTTCCACAGGCTCTTGTTTTGAAGATGCTGACTGGGGTGAAATGTACCCCTGTGAAGAGGGCCAGCACAAAGCCTAAGCACCAGTTAAATCCCCCTCAAGCCATGTTTTGAAGGATTTAAGTAGTACATAGGCTTTATGTTGGCCCTCTGCACAGGTATGAATTTTACTCCAGATCAATGACTTTCCAGTGTTCATTAACGATTTTGGTGTTAAGTACATACTGCACATCTTTCCTAGTACATTACTTTGTTTATTTTAGAACCCGTTGAAGAATAGCATCTGTTCCAGGTGATTTACTTAATTTTTCAAGTTATTCCCAGTGGATGCATGTAGTCTTCTTGATTCCAGTGCATTTGAAGAGTTTTTAAAAAATTGTTTTTATACTTCTTGCTTTGCCTTTTATTCCAATTTACACTTTATCTGGTATAGTTTACGCAGGATTTCTGTATTTGAAAGGATGCTTTTTATATCCCTAGCTATCATTATTTATGTTTCCTCCTGAGCCCTGTGTAGTTAGTTCATAGTAACTGACTTTACCAGCAGAAGGATATAAAAAATAGTCCCAATAAATTAAAAAAAAACCTATAAAATAGTTTTGCTGTTAAGTAAGCAGCACTTACACAATACATCATAACATGGTAGAACAGATTTATTGGTGCTTGTTTGGGATGACCTTTGGGCTGTGTGTATCCTCTTCTTGCCAGCTATATGCAGACCTTCTAGGTGTCTGATCAGCTGTTCTTGAAATTCCGTGAGAATTGGGCCTTGAAATTCAATGGGAGTTAGGTACCAAACTGTCTCAAACTTTTCTTCTGAAAAATCCAAGCTTTAACCATTGTCCATTTTATTAAGAATATTATTTTTATACATCACCACCTTTCATACCAAAGGACCCCCAAGCACTTCACAAAAGTAGAACTCATTTCATTCACCACTGACATAGAAGCGCTGCTACCTCTCTGTCATAATGTTGCATGTTTAAACACCAATACTTCTCCATAGTTTAGGACAGCAAGTAAATAATACTATATCCAACTGTAACTAGTGGAGGGATTTGTGATATCCCCTATGTCGTAGCTAAATTCCTATTTTTAGATATTCCCTTCTACCTAACAGCTGTACCTTTGTGAAAATTACTGTTGAATATTAGTTACCTCTAGCACTACTACAATGCTCCTTACCACGCTGAAATACTGGTGCAATTTGGACCAGGAGGGAAGACTGCCACCTGCTGAGCCATTAGGATTACCCTTGGAGCATCTTGAGTTTTTCTTAAAATTCTCTGACTCATGTGCACTGTATACAATTTTTAGAGCTACTTTTAAATGTATTACTTTTAATTTCTCTCTCATACCTGTACATTTGGGCTTAATTAAAACATCTAGCTTAAGGGCAGAAGGATACAAAATGTAGTACCAATAAAATTTTTAAAAACACTAAAACATTTCTAAAATAGGTTTTCTGCAAAATATGTGACAAATGCTGAGTACATGGTGGTACGATGTGTTAAGTTATGTGGTCATCCCAAATTCATGATGATAAATATTTTTTGAACTGCACAATAATCTATTATTTCTTTCCTATCTGGTTGATTAGTTAATGTATCTTGTTCAGACTGAGTGGAAAAGCATAAAATACTTGATTTTTATTCCTTTTAGATAAGATGGGAAAAAAACATCACATTGGGGGAGCCCCCAGGATTCTTGCACTCTTGGTGGTGGTAAGTGTTAATAATTTTCTTTCCTTCCAATTAAAGTAGGTTGAGAGTGGAGTCGAATGGCTAGGCTTAAAATTGGAGCAAAAAGAACAGTAAAATACCAAATATTCATCCTTGTTTTAAGCTGAAAAATTCTTTTTTATTAAACTTTTTGATGAAAGAAATTCAGGTGAATTTTGTACAAATTATACTGAGTTCATCAAGAATAATTGGTGTAGAAAACAATGAAAGAAGCTAATAATAACAATGGAGTCTCCTAAAAAACATACCCAAGAGGCATAGCCATATTGTTTTAGATTTAATTTATTTCCCCTATTTTTTTTCTAAGAAAAGACGCAGTTCCATGTTGAAGTCCTTAGCCTGTGGTATTCGTCACTCCAGTTGTTTCTCCAAAACTTTCTTTTGCTAGGGCAAAAGTGTGTATTATGAAGTTGACAGTGTTAGCACATCATATTAGAACTGGAACAGGTTTCAATACTTTGTTTGCAGTGAGTCTTGCAGTAAATAATGCATTTAAAAATAAGTTTTCATATGGGAAAAAATTGAGTTAAGAATACAAGCAGAGATGATAAATTGTATACTGTCATTGGAAAATGACATAAAATACACTATCCACATTACTGCCTGTGGCCCAAATTCACTATAGCACTTAAGTACATACTTAACTTGAAGCATGTGCTTAAGTCTCATTGAAGTTGAAATATGACTTAAACGTGTTCTTAAGTGCTTTGCTAAATAGGACTGGACTTAAGCCAGTGTCAGAGGGTTACTGAACTGATTTGCTATATAAGGAGTCTGGGGAGCCAGGAGAGACAGGTCAGAAATATGGGAGACATGGATGGTGGAGATTCCAGAGCCATAGGAAGAGCTAGGGAGTCCCCCTGTGGCTATCATCCTATATAAGGGGCAGGGATCTGGAAGAAAACAAGGTTGAAGGAAGTCAGTGGCCTCCAGAGTGGCATTTCCTGCCAATGTTTGAGTGCAGGGGTGAAGGAAGGTCATGGAGAGAGGCTTTGTGGCCACTGTCCTGTACAAGGAGCAGGGACTGGGAAAGAACCCAGGAAGGATATGAGACTTTCATTAAGCCCAAAGTGGGCGGATGTTGTTTATGTTATTGCTTCATTTTAGCATTTGAACTTTACTGGGGATGATGGGAATAAACCAAGAACCCTCCATTTGAAGGAAGATTAGGGACTGAAGAAGATTTTAGAGTGACAAAAGACAGCAGAGGCAGAGTTGTTTTGAATTATGATATGGTACTTTAATTTATGTCTTTGAGACATGTATAATAATAAATTACCTTGGGACAAGGCTATCAACCCAAGAGAGTGCTGGAGTGTTTGAAGGGACTCTGAATGGGGTGAAACTGATGCTGGACATCTGTAGGGTACCTTCATGCCACCAGGAGGCACTCAAGGATGGCCTCGCTTGTTAAACCCACACTTAAAGTTTTCCACAACTCGAATTGGGCCTTTAACATCTACAGCTGATATCCACATGGTCAAATCAATGAGTTCACTCATGCTCATTTGGAAGAATTCTATGGTGTCGGCTTACAAAGTAGTTTACTAATATCAACAGGGAAAGCTAAATAATTATTTATATGGGCAGCATAAAAAACTTTGCAAATCCCATCTCTTCCTCAGGTAGCCCATTATCTCTGACAAGTATGCTACATGAGTGCCTTATACTTTTTCACATATGATCACACTTACTTACATGTATCTATGTGTCTGCGTGTATATATAGCATCCCAAAGTTTACTATTGGAACTGTGGATGAAAATGTAATTCATAGGAACTGCTGTTTAGCCAAGCTGAATTGTATCTATATGGAGATTCCAGACACATCTGATATGTACATATCTACTCTATGAATGGATAATCAAGATGATTACTGACAACAAAGGATGAAGTTACAGGTGACATAGTAGTTCCACCTGGCCCCAGGAAAGTATGTAATAAGTACACAACTGTGCAAAGTGGCATAATCACTACCAAATGTGTTTCAGAGTAG